AAAGCCATAATGGTAAACTGTGACTTTGTTGTCATCTCCCTCAGGGAACTCCCATATTTTTTTGGTGTTACAAGGAATAAAATCGGCTAGTGCACCACATTTACTACAAGTAGTTTCAAAATTTTTCTTCTGGAATTGAACTCGATTAGCTTCCTTAAACTGCCTTCTATATGAACAATGTTCATTGTCACAACGATAGGACCCTTTGCATGTTTTTAGTATTCTTTTACCATTGAAACCAGAGCGACGTGATGTTGTGTAATTACACCATGTCCTACCATCTACTGTTGACGCCAATTTATCTTCTTTCTCATATTCAAGTCGGTACACTTTTAGACCATCTATTGGCYCAAACTTTAGGAATAAGCTTCTGAGCACTTCCTCTGAAATATGAATTTACATATTATGCTTATATTAACTTTTCTCATTATATTTTGTAATATTAAAATATCTATACAAAATTATGCTGCATGAAAACAGTGCAGTTTATTAATTCATTAATAATATTGAATCCATTTGAAACTTGTCACAAGCTCAAAATGGATATGTCATGTAAATATGATCTACTTGCAGAGCTATTTACTGATAAGGAACAATTTSAGAGATGCACGACAAATTYCTTCAGGATCTCATAGGGCAAATTCTAAATACATTAAAATAAAAACACCAGTTTGTTTATGACCTGCAGATTTCTCAAAAAATATGTTTGTGCAACTCAAAACTTGAAAATCTAAAATAAATTTATAAGATTAAGATTTATCTAGTCACTATTCAATTCAATTTTATTATCACAAACTATCTGAACTAACCTTGGAGCTGTTTGAAACAGGTTTTTTGACTGAATAAGTTGGTTTCCCATTTTTCGCTTTTCGCCTGTTTTTTTGTCTCTGACTGGAGAATCATCGAACAGTAATTCCTAAAAACATGAATTTAKCATCAAGATAGCAACAAAATAGATGCAATACTAGTGTAACATAGGCATTTCTACAAATAAAATATGTTTAGACTTTATGGACATCACACTCAYTTTAGTTTATACATCTATAAATGTCAGTAGCTATTAATAGATATTTTTGCCCTTATCATAAAAAATARCTAGGAATTATGTGAAATAAAACACAAAACTCCACTCCTAAATAGTACAGCAAAAACATTTTACATTGTTTTACCTTTTTTTGAAGGAAAGCCTGAGGCAGCTCACTATCGCTATCAATAGAACAATAAGAAATAGTCTAGTATCAAAAAAAWTTTAATTTTCAATTTGAAGCTTAAAGTAGCTATTCAAATAGTTTAATGGAAACATCAATATCCCTCAAATGCAAATAGCATACCTTTCAGATGACAGTGAAATCAAATCAATTAGCTGAAAAAAAAACTTATTGAAGTTATTGTTATTCAAGCGAAGACAAAAAAGAAGAAAAAATGCTAACACAACGTACCTCCTCTGCCTTTTGTGRCAAGGACTTTATTTCGATTAGCCTGTGTACATCCGTTTCTCACCCCTCCGAAAAAATCGGCGAGAGAACGTCTGTGWTTTGCCGTTGCTAATCGTGTTCTGAGGTCCTCAAGATTTGGAGGACGAATTTCATTGGCCGTTGGCWTATGAGACTTGTRATTGGCCAAAATCAATAGATGGCGTGTAAAGTTGGTCGCACGAGTGAAATATAAGCCTTCATGGTAAACCACTGGAACATGTAGAATGCCTCAAATTGAATAT